TTGGGACTAAAGGCGTGAACCACCACTGCCTGGCTGCTGCGTTGGTCTTAATGGCCCGGGATGCAGCAGCCATATTTACATTTTCTGGTTAACGTCCTTCTAGATAGGCATTGCTGTGCGTCTTCAGACCTGTCTTCAGAGCCTATCATATATGTTTGTTTATACTAAGGTGGGGGGAGCACCTTTTCTGTGCCTCCCAATACTTGCTTAGCAAATTGTTGCTACTCTTGGGCCAACACCCTTAAGCTGCTGCTTTAGGGTGCTATAGGCAGAGTCTGCCCCACAGAAGCTGTGGTCCTTTGTCCTTGCAGACCTCACCTCACCCTCAGAGCTGAAAGACCTCCACCAAGGACACTTGCTCTCCCCCATTGCTATTTTGCTTTGCAGCATGTTGCCCCCCCCCAAGACAGGGCTTCTCTGTGTAACAGCCCCAACTGATTGTGAGCACAGCCTTGTCCCACACATTTCTACTCAATCTTGACACATAAAGGGACTTATGGAAGCTTAATGCAGAGCCCTCGGCAGACCAGTTCTGAGAATTTCTCCTGCCCTTAGGCAAATCTGCTTCTGCTGAGCGGCTTTAATCTGACATTAAGAATTGCTTCTGATGGGTAATCAAAGAGTTCCCTCCTTGGGCCTGGCCTTCTGCTAAACAGGCCACCTCTGATCTCTTATTCACAGGGAGTTTCTATGTGCCCCACACCTTGTGAAAGATTCATTCCTGGTTGCTCTCTGATAAGAATGAGTATGTTTATAGGGTGCAAAATGGTGCATTTAGCAGCCTGTCTCAGATGTTAATGACTTCAGTCAGTCTGAAGGGGAGCCATGGACTCCTCTTCACTGGATGGCTCCCCTTCACCGGCAGTTCCTGTAGGAAGGCAGCTGTGGAAATGGATCCGTCTGTGTCATGTCCAGTGGGATCGAGGGGGCTTAAGGGGCTGCTCCTGCAGTTCTCAGGCTTACAGCCAACATATGCATGAACATTCTATTAGTTTCATCCCCTGCTAAACTGTTTGGCCCCGTTTATGGATAGAACATACTGAAAAGTCCTTGCTAAAAGGAAGAGCCTCGGTTGGGTCACAGCAGTGATAGGAACAGTCCAGCCAGCTGATATCACAGTTCTGGTTCCCATCCCTCCTCTTATGTGCAGGAATTGGCTTTTAGGCCAAGATGGCTGCCATGGTAATGGATGTATATACCTCCTTGAAGGCTATAGATGATGTCCCATACAGAGGTAGCTGGCTTGGCAGAGAGGCTGCAAAGGGTGAGGTACGAAGCCTCCTCTCTTCCTGGACGGTTTTGTTCTTTCAGGCAATGTGCCCAAAGAGTAGGAAGATGTCCAACCAAGATCCAAGCTCAGCCTCCCTGTTCTGTGTTCTCATCAGCAAATAGCAGTGGTAACACCCACTGGGTTTAATGAGATGGTCTATGCCAAGCACTGACACCATTCCATCCATTCCTGTTTCTCAACTTGTTATGTTGGAAAGACTGAAACCTCAAAAACACTGAGAAGAAAGGACAATAGATTCCCATACAACAGATGCCCATATGCTTCTATTATTCGTCTGCTTGGGCTGCCATGGGAGACTACCACAGACTGCCAGCTTAAAACAATAGACATATTTTTCTCACAGTGCTGGCTGCTGAGAGTCCAGGACAAGGTGCTGTAGGGCTGGTTTGTGGTGAGGCTTCTCTTCCTGGCTTGCAGAATTCATCTTCTCGCTCTGCCCTCATGTGGCCCTCCTTTGTGTGTGTGCTGTCTCTGTCTCTCTACATAAGGACACCAGTCCTATTGGATGAGGCATCCACCCCATGATCTCACTTAACTTTTCCTCTTAATCCCCAAATAGTTATACTGGAGCCTGCAACATCAATGCAGATTTGGGGGGACATATGGATCAGTCTGGAGCACATATTTATAAACTGGTAGAGTTGGTGGGTAGGGTGTATGTTGTATGTGTGCACATAGATTGTGTATGTCATGTGTGAACATAGATGTGTATGTGCACATGGATGCTTGAGTGTGAGTGTGGAGGGTAGAGGTTGGCAATGAGAGTCTTTTTCTATTGCTTTCCACTTTATTTCTTAAATTTTAATTTATTTTGTTAAACTAGTATAATTGAAGAACAATTAGATAACTGTATCTATCTTATCAGACACAATAAAAACAAAATTAACACTCTAAATTATTACAACAACGGTAGTGGTGCACACCTTTAGTCCCAGCACTCAGCAGGCAGAGGCAGGCAGATGTCTGTGAGTTTGGAGCCTGCCTGATCTACAGAGTTCCAGGACAGGCTCCAAAGCTACACAGAGAAACCCTGTCTCAAAAAAACAAAAACCAAACCAAAACCAAAACAAACAAAGCCCTTGCATTCCTGGCCTTTCCTTCCAGACAGCTTTCCACCTTATTTTCTCACTGGACTTGGAACCGCTGTTTTGGCTAGACTGATTGGCCAGTGGGCCCCTGAGATATGCATGATTCTCACCCCTCTTCTAGTGCTGAGGTTGCATTACAACACCTGGCTCTGTATGGGTGCTGGGAATCCAAACTCAGGTCCTCAAACTTGCTCAGCAAACAAGTTGAGCCATCGCCCTGGCTTTGACCTTGTAACTTTTAATAGGAATACACACCACCTTTCATCCTATGCATCTTGCATGTTATAAGAGCATGTGTGTTGCCTAGTGGGAGAAACGTTTTAATGGGTGTCAGAATAGATGCCTTCCTCTGCATACAGAGGGCCTATAGGTATGTGTATATAACAGTTACCAAAGGTTCTATAAGCTCTCTTTGCTAGTTTTTCCATAAAATAACTTTAAAGAAAATGACTTTTAAAAGTCCTAGATGGAGTTCGAGACCAGCCTGGTCTACAAGAGCTAGTTCCAGGACAGCTTCCAAAACCTCAGAGAAACCCTGCCTCAAAAAACAAGAAACAAACAAACCTCGATGGAGCTGGGGAGACAGCTCAGCAATTAAATGTGGATACAGCTCTTGCTGGGGATCTGACTTCCATTCCTTACACCCATGACAGGTGGCTCACAACCAGCTGCAACTCCAGCTATAGAACATCCAACAACCTCTTCTGGCCTCCGCGAGCACTACGCACATACACATACTCACCCAACCCACACATACGCATCATTAAAAATAAAATATTTAAAATAACAATTGAAAGCTTTAGAAAAACCATATTTCTGTTAACTTTGACTTAAGTAACTTCTCTTGCTACCAGAAAATATATAATCATACAAAGTACATAGAATCACAGCTACATAATAACAGAAACCACATCCTAGGAGGCAGTATAGGAAACCAGAAAGGGAGGTGACTAGGCCAGTGCAAGCAGTAAGCACACAAGCATGTTTTCATACACTGTTAATAAAATCAAAATGCAGCTAGATGGTGCAGGTGTGGTAGTGCACACCTGTAATCCCAGTATTTGGAAGGTGGAGGCAGGAGAATCAAAAATGTAAGGTCAGCCTTAAGATACGAGTTCCAACCCAGCTAGACTATGTGAGACCCTGTCTTAAACTATAAAAATAAAACAAAACAATATGTACTTAAAACAATGAGAACTGAGCCACATATGCAAATACAGCATACAGCAACCTATGTTGCAATAAGTGGAGGGTTGGTTAAGTGATGGAGTGCCCTAATTCTGAGCCAAGCTCCTCCCAGTTCTCTGAGTGTGTGTCATAATAACTTTTTCCCCCCTCACACATTGCCTAGGTAAGCATATTCAAGTTAGGACAAACTTGGGTATGAAGGTATTTCAGCTCTCAGGTGATATATGCAGGTCAGTGGAGAAATTCCATTTAAAAGACAAGTGACTTAGGGGTTATTCCTCTCAGTGTACCAAAAACTGAAGAATCAACTATATTCAAGAAAAATTTCAAGGGTATGCTGACACAGGCCTTTAATCACAAGACTTGGCAGGCAGAGGGAGGCGGGTCTCTGTAAGTTCTGGGACAGCTTGGTCTACAGAGTGAGTTCCAGGACAGCCAGAGCTGCATAGTGAGACCCTGTCTCAAAAACCAAACAAACAAAAGAATAACCTTCAATTTCAAAATCAGTTTTTCTAACCTATACCTTTTCCCCAAATGCAGAATGATCCCAGGAATGCTTGGAACATCTTGCAATTATCCAGAACTTGTTCACCCCTGCCTCACTTTACATATTTGTTTGTTTGTTTGTTTAATGTATTAAAGGCCCCCTGTAAAACCGAGGAAAATGTTTGCCTGTCAAGAATGAGGGCCTGAGTTAAATCGTCAGAATCCACATTTTAAAAAAGGCAGGATTTTGCGTGTGTTTATAATACACCTATTGGGGACTCAGAGAGCAAACTATCTTTGGGGCTCAATGGCTGGCCAGCCTCACCTGCTTAGCAAGCTCCAGGCCTGTGAAATTCTGTCTTGGGAAAATGAGGCATTGAGGCTGGAGAGATGGTTCAACAGATAAAAGTACTTGCTGGGTGAGCATGAGTTTGAATCCCAGGAACCCACACAAAAGCCAGACACCTGTAAGTCCATGAAAATAAAAGGAAGATGGAAAGCAAAGACAGGAGACTCCTCCTGGAGTACACAGGAGAAAAACAGCCAAGAGATTCCCGACCAACACTCACGGTTGTCCTCTGGTCCCCACATGCATGCGTACCTACATGCGCATGTTCTTTCCTGGGTTTCCTATTATTATTATTATTTTCAATGAGTTTCCATATTTCCCTGCTCACTATTGACCTGCATGGAATACCCTGCACCTGAATGTTTAAGACTTGCTGCATTGACTGTTTTTGAAGAAGCAAGGGCATCTATGATGATTATGGGAGGAGGGAGTGGGGGCTGCTTGTAGAGATCCATGCATGGGGGTCAGTTTGTTTTTTGGTGGAGGCTCCTGGTAGCCTTTTGAGGGGGTCAGGTTGGGGTCGTTCTGCCTGTATGTGGCTCTGTCTTTTGGTATCTGTGAGAAGCAATGAAACGATCCATGTTTTCATTGTTGGCAGCACTGGGCTAGGAGGCTCCTGCTCTGCTTCCTCTGCTTCTGAGAGTGCTGCCAGCCTGGATCCAAGTACTGTGTCCCCAGAGGTGACTGAGCCAGGGAGGCACCCCCAGGAATCCAAGCGGCCAGAAGGTTCTCCACTGCCCAGCTCATCACTGCCCTGGGAACAGGTGTGCCCCTTAGCCTCCATGCCCTTCACCGAGTGTCCCCCAGAAGGTTGCTTAGCAAGCTCAGAAGCAGCACCTGAAGATGGTACCCTTGCCCATCACCCTAGAAGGGAAGCCTCACCCAGTATCCAAGGGGATGCCTTAGCAACCTTTAGTCCTGAAGGGGATGGCTCCACAAAGCACACACTGGTTGCCACAACCCCCAGTGTTGAAGAAGATGAAGAACTGAAGAAAGGGAGACCAAACTTATCTTCCAGTTGCACTGGCCAATTGCCAGAAATTTCCCTAATGCCTCCCCACGAGTCCAGGACAGAGCAGCTGTGTGCAGAGGGTGACTGGCCTGGTAGTTTTGAGACCCAAGAGAAAGACCATGTAGGTGACTGCTTGCCCGAAGAGTCTGCCACTAAGGCCCCTGCTGCCACCAAACTGGGGATGGAAAGCACAGATGTCCTAGAGGAGTCCCCATGGACTGAGACCATGGTCCCACAAGATCCAGTCCTAAGATCAGCTGACAGGGATGGAGGTGGAATGGAGGGGCTACCTACCAATTCGGCCAAGAACTTGGAATTTCTTGGAGGCTGCCATCCTTCTAAAAGCAACTCGGGCACTAAACCTGGAGCTGGGACAAACACTGGCTCCCAGGTACACTGCCAGCAGGAAGTGGAGACACATCTGCCACAGGCAGAGCCTCCCTCAGACCCACTAGGTTTTGCCACAGCACCAGGAGACAGTGGCTCCTGGAAGGAGACTCAACGAGACACCAGCAATGTTCAGAGCCAGCCACAGACAGGGACATCAGGAACTGAGCCCCAACAAGTGGTCTGTGTCACATCAGGCAACCAGCCGGATAGGAGCTTGCTTGGGGGTACTGAGGCTCCTCCATTCACTAGAACAGAGGAAACGCATACAGCTTCAAGTCCCACACCACATCCCGATGCTTGGGATTCTGTCATCTTAGAAGAAGCCAGCTTGACCAAAGAGACAGATTCTGAGGCTAAGATGCCAGTTTCTGCAGATCTGGCCACAGGAAAGGTGGATACAGGGGTGGTGGGGCTGAAGCGAGCATCAGATCTGAGGCGAACCCAACAACAACAGCCAGAAGGTAGTCTCCAAGGGGTCCCCACCCCTTTCTTGCAGGGACAAAATGATACAGTCCTAGAAGAGCTGTTGCTGCCAACATTGTCTCATGGGGTTTCAAATGAAAGTTCTAGAAAGTCAATGGAACCAACTGATGGTCCTAAAGCTCCCAAGAATACTGAAAATAGAGTTGTGGCTATAGAAGAAAGCAGATCACCCAGAGGCAACCCTAAGAGACAGCAAGAAGCCACCAGAGCCCTTGATGGCGCACAGTGTGGGAACCATGAGGAAGAAAGGTCCCATCCCTTTCACAGCGAGCTCCATCTGGAGACGGACAAAGATGAGGTTTCAAAGCCACATAGTGAGCCTTCCAACTCAGACTCAGCACAGCCACCTAGACAGGCAGTTGCTGGCCATGAGGATGGGCCCCACGCTGGGTCAGCAGAGGCTGTGGGGCAGGTGATTACTGACTCCCATACAACTGACACATGTATCTCCCTGCACAAAGTCCCTGAGCAGGGCCTCATCCTGTCCTCAGCATCAGACGGAACTGGTGAGCACTTTCCTCTCCAAGAAGCCATCTGGGGAAGTTCAGGATCTCAGACCAAAAGCCCCAGCATGCTTCAGGGCAGGGGGGAATTGGGAACAACAGAGTCACTTCCTGCTTTAGACTCTGAGAAATCAGATTTCCTGTCTGCTCCAGCAGTGGAGGAGGTGCCCAAAGCTGGAGAGGTGGAGAGTGTATGGGAGATAAAGCAGAGGCACTCCCCCTTGCAGAGGCCCTACAGTTGTGATGGGGAAGGCTTGCTGATATCCCCAGGCCAACCTTGTGGGCTGAAGAAGGTAGAATCAGGACAAGAAGTCCACACTGATGTGTCATCTCCCCACAGTGGGAAGAGCTCAACAATGGGTCATGGACCCATGCTCAGTCTGAAACAAGAATGTCAGGGAAAGCTGTCTTGCCCAGGGGACAGCCTCCCACTACCTTCTGAGAACCCACTCCAGCCGTCCCAACTGGATCCAGAAGCAGCCGTCTTTGCTGTCCTCTGTGAGAAGGCCCAATCGCCTGCAAATGGGCAAGGGGCTTGTCCAAGTGGCCCAGGTCTGAAGAAGCAGGGTGCAAACCCTTCCCCAATTCTAGCGCCCATGGAAGGGGAGTCTTGGGTAGGTGTGAACTTGCCCACTCAAGGAGGAAAGGAACAGGCTTCAGAACTTCCACCCAAAGGCAGCCGGTGCAGTACTCCAAGTTCATCACCCGAGGATACGGATCTGGGAAAGGCACCATCAGAGGAGTCAGACCCTTCAACCTCACTTGGACAGACATTGCCTGCACTAGGGATAAATGAACAAGAGGGCACAGGCTGTGACAGTCAGCCCTCGGAGATCCTGCATCCTGCAGAAGACACCTCTCTTACAGGAAACTTGGGTGGAAAGGACAGTTGTGGCATCCGGCAGGAGCTGAGCAAGTCCCAACAGGAACTGGCTGATGCTTTGAAAGCAGGCAGCCAGCATGAAGAAGCACGTTGTGGGGATTCAGGAGTTTCTGATGTATGTGATGTACTGCCCCTGCCTCAAGGCTTGGGTAAGACAGAGGCGGCAAGTAGAGGCATAGTGGAGGCCCCGCCTTGTCCACCTGACTCAAAAGCTCTCCTGGATACAGCATACTGTTCTCCAGTCCCAGAGCCTACCAGCCCTAGAGGCACACCCACCCCGGATGCGCTAGAGAGTGAGGCCTGTGATGAAAACCAGGAAGAGTTGGCCCCACATCTGGAAATGGAGCAGCTGGCCACCTTAGGTGCAGAAGCACAGGGGCCTCTTGGAAGTGTTCCGAGAGCCGAGGAGCAACATGGTGGGTCTGCGGAGGTGAATGTTGGCGCCAGCGAAGGAGACCCTGGGATGCAGCAGGATCCTGGGGGACCACAAGCTGCTCTGCATGGTGGCTCCTTTCAGTCCGAGCAGTGCCTCACATCTTGGAAAGAAGCTTACACCTCCACCCTGACTGAGCTGTGCCAACTTGAGCAGCTTGTGCCCAGCTGTGGGGATCCCTTGCTGCCAGCTGGAGAGTCGGGTAAGATTCCCGGAAGTACAGAGAACATTCTGGCACACGGCACTGTTTCAGACCCACGGAGGCTGCTGCCGGCTGGACCACCTGAAGAGACTCTGCCTGATGCCCCTTACCTCCATATCAACGGCACTGCCAGGGAGGATGCAGGAGACGGTAGCATGAGAGCTGTTTCCTCTGAGGGCCCCAGAGCTCCTAATGAAGGTCCTTGCCCCACAAAGGAACTCCCACCTGCTTTGGAAAATGACACTCCTGGCAAGGTATCAGATGTCTCCTACACCACACTCTTGCAACCAGGAACTTCAGGTGGAGAAACCTCTGTAGCCGGGGCTGGTAGTGATAAATCCCAAGCTGGAACCACTGAGGGACCCGTGAATCTCGTGCCCTATCTAGACAACATGACTCTCCTGGCCAAAAATGAGCAGATGACAAGAGAGATGCATGTGGCTGCAGCTCCAGAAGCAAATGCCAGGCCCTCTGAGGCTGCAGCATCCCCTGTCAGTGAGGATGCAGCAGGAGAGACAGGGGGCAGCAGGGAGAGGGCTGCTGGGGCAGGTAGTAAGGGTGCAAGCTCCAAGCAGACCAGCATAATTACAGGGCTTCCTGACTTCAGGGAACACATCACCAAGATCTTTGAGCAGTCTGCGCTTGGAGCCCTGGTTGCCAATCGGGCCCAGAGTATACCTGGTGAAAAGGCAGGAGCTTCAAGGAATTTTCTGGTTGAAGGTCCCAGCACATCACTGAACCCAGAGAAGCTTCTAGATGGGGTTCAAGGAGTGGCTGCTGCCCATCTCCCTGTACCTCCTGCCGGACTCCAGGTGGATAAGAAGCAAGAGTCGATTGTGGAGGCTGAGATTTCTCATCTGGTTCCCCAGGATCCAGCACCAGAGAAGCTGGTGGATCTGGCCAAGACAGCCTTGGAGGAGAACCTTCCGAGTGGCAGTATTGGGGCGGAAGCGACCTGTGCCCCGTTGATGGTGATGAGTGAGAGGCTAGAGGGGACTGGAGAGCCTGACCGGGGAGCTCAGGTCTATCCACAGCAGGGAAGAGGCAGGCAGGAATCAGCTCTGGGTCTTCCCTCCTCTGTAGCTGTTCAGGGGGTACCAGCAGAAAGAGCTCCCAGCTTCCCTGTGGCTCCCCACAGCCACACAGAAGAGCCTTCTGGAAAAGAGCACCCAGAAACACTGGCCAGCAAGTGTCAACACAGAAGAGATGATACCTGGCACCTGGCTCATACCAAGGGTCCAAATAGTCTACCAGGATCCACATGTGCCCTGGAGGGTTCTTCTCACGGAAGTCTTTTGACTGTGCCTGAATCTGACAGCAAGCCGTGGATCGCTGCCCCACTTGAGGGTGGAAGAGGGCCCGAAGCTTCTGTCAGTACTGCAGAAATGCAAAATGTGCTGGGCTACCAGGGTACCCCCAAAGAGCTGGCTGGAGGAGCCTTGGATACTGTGGGGCCTAGCAAAATGGTGGGGGCTGCTGAGGCAGCAGCCAGTGACATCAGACCAAGCACAGCTGAGACGTGGGCATGTGTGTCTGGTGACCTCCCTGAAACAGGTACTACAAGGATGCTTCCCGCTGTGGCAGGTGACTCAGCACTGCCTGGGAGCTGTCAGGACCCAGGATTCTCCGACAAGTCTGAGACAATGAAAGACACAGCCACCCTTCAAGGGGACAGCCAGGCCAGACACCGGCAGGCCAAGGGACAGCTGGGGCCTCCACTCCCTGCTCCTGCAGGGTATGGGAAGACGAGTGTCTCTTCAGCTCCAGAGCCTGATGGAAGCAAAGCCACGAAGCTGCACCTCTTGGCTTCAGAAGAACTCCACACTGACAGGTACTTAGATGCAATGCCCATAAGTTCAGACCCAATGTGATCCCTACTGTGACGTTAGTGAATCAAACAGATGGGTGATGTTCAGGAGGCTACGTTTCCTGTATCTGAAGGGTTAAGTGGCCCAGCTTATGCTGTCTGGATATGCTAGGATTCTGATAAGTGTGAAGGGGTGACTGGAAGTATGGGAGCTATTTAGTTGACTATTTCCTTGTGTGCTTAGCTTATCTAAAAGCACTGGAAAGGGGGAAGCCTTGGCTGGCTGTGTATGATTGGGTGATAGGTTTTAGGCGGTCATGTTTTCTGAGGTGCAGTCACAGCTGCTTTCAAATATGGAATTGTTTAGGTGAAGGGGCCCTATGTGATTCAAAACAGCTCCAAGCCCTTCGCTGCCTAAAAAAAAATATCTCTTCTCTTCTTCCTGGGGATGTTGGCAAGGTGGCCACTTAATCTTTACTGGGAAATGTGCTTTTGAAAATAGGATCTGGGGAAGAGGCAGCACTCTCCAAATATCTGATTCTAGCAATCGATTTCTTTCTTCATCTCAGAAAGAGCCCAGGGCCTGGCTCAGCTACCTTATCTTCAGTTCCTGAGACATGTGCTCCGCAAGTCTTTTCAGCAGAGGCCAGAGAGTCAGGAGGACCAGAAAGGTCAGTGACACAGAGGCTTTGGGAGCCTGTGGCACCTTTCTTTCTTAGATGCATTGTTGAGTTCACAGAGGATAGCAGTGTTTGTCTATTTGAGAGTGTCTCAAGTAACCCGGCTAGCTTCAAATTCAGTAAGAAGTCAAGGATGTCTTTGAATTCTTAATCCTCTGCCTCTACTTCCCAAATGTTGGGGTTGTAGACATACACCAGTATACTTAGAGGCTGAGAGCAGTGTGTGTGTGTGTGTGTGTGTGTGTGTGTGTGTGTGAGAGAGAGAGAGAGAGAGAGAGAGAGAGAGAGAGAGAGAGAGGGAGCTGTTATATAGGAGAGGCAGACAGGAATGCTGAGACACACCTGTAGCGCCAACATTTAGGAAGCTGAGGCAGGAGAATCATGAGTTGGGTCTGAGCTTCATTTATTTAAGTTCCAGTCTCTAGTGTGTGTGGGGAAGGTGGGGCAGTTAACTGTTTCTATGCCATGTGCACTTCAGTAGTGCCTGCAATGACTCAAAGCTGCATTGCTGCCGAAAGGGATGTTTGCTTTCCTGCCCGAGCTTTTTACCTGGAAAAACAAAACAACTCCACTAAGGTACAATTCACACATCATATATTTCACTCATTTTAAGTCTAGATACACATGCCCCCCCCACACATACACTACAAGTCTTAGTGTGCTGTGGTGAAGGCTATAATCAATTGCAGATCTATGACACACACACACACACACACACACACACACACACACACACACACACACACACTCCAAATAAACCCTATAGCCCCTAGATGTCACTCCTTAGTCCCCTATGTCCTTAGCATAGGCACCCACTAATCCAGTGTGATGCCTTTGGAGGCCAACACTGGTCAACGCTGCAAGAGTAGCTCATTACAGCAGAAGCCACACTCCGCTGAGATCTTCAGATAAGGAGGGCAGACAACAAATGGAACCATGTCTCTCAGGCCTTACCCCTTGCTCTACCCCAAGTGAATGTCCCCAAGTGTGGTCCTGCAGAAACTGATGTTTAAGTTCATCTTTAGTGGGTAGAAAGGTATTGCAGACATGACTTTGTGCATGAGATTTGCTGAATAACTAGACCTTTGGTTATTGAAGTGCTGTGTGTATGTTTGTGTATGGGAGAGAGAGAGAGAGAATTTGCTTTATGAGTTTAAATTAGTACCTGTGCCATGCCTCCTACCAACAGCTGTGGGTGTTTTACAAATTATTTGATTCATATTTTCACATGCTGAAAGAATGCATGGTCACCTGTTTTCCGAGTCTCAACACTTCCCCCAGCTCCCCAGCTGCCTCTGCTGCCCCACAAGGACAACTCCCATGACTATGGGCCAGCACATGTGGCCTGAGCTGTCCAAACAGATCTTATGAGAACATTTGCCTGTAGCACTCACTGGTATGTATCGCTTGCATTCCAACTTTAGGTATAGGAAAAATATCTGTGTAGCCAGGAAATCCCTTCTGTCCCACGAAAGACTGTATCAACACCTTCCTTGTCAGCATCCACAGGCATGTGATCATCTTCCTGGGGAAGCTTGGGACACAGAGTAGTCCCATAAATAGTTCATGGCTCATTGTTCTAACCACTTGAGAATTTAAAAATTGTATTTTCTTAGTAAACATTGCAAATTAAGTTTTTTTTTTTCCTACAACATTTGTAAAGTATAGGAAAGCAAAAGAAAAAAGAGAGAGCTGGAGAGGTGGCTCCCTAGTTAAAAGCCCATACTACTGCTGTTACACAGGACCTGAGTTCTGTTCCCAGAAAACAACCTGGGGGTGGTAGAGGGGTGGCTCGCAACCACCTGTAACTCCAGCTCTAAGAGCTCTGACTCCCTCTTCTGGCCTCCAAGGGTACCGGCACTCACATACACACACTCACATGTCCACACCCACATTCATATCACACATACACATAATTAAAAGTAAAAATAAATCTTAAGAAAAATTACAATTGATGGGCAGTGGTAGCTCATGAGTTGAATCCCAGCACTCGGGAGGCAGAGGTAGGCAAAGCTCTGTGAGTTCAAGACCAGCCTGGTCTACAGAGTGAATTCCACAACAGCCAAGGCTATACAGAGAGATCCTGTTTCAATAAACCAGAAAGAAAAAAAGAAAGAAGAAAGAAAGAAAGAGAGGAAGGAAGGGAGGGAGGGAAGAAGGAAGGAAGGGAGGAAGGAAAAGTTGGAGGAATGGCTCAGGGGTTAAGAGTGCTGGCTGCTCTTCCAAAGGTTCTGAGTTCAATTCCCAGCAACCACATGGTGGCTCACAACCATCTATAATGAGATCTGGTGCCCTCTTCTGGTGTGCAGGCAGAACACTGTATACATAATAAATACATTTTTAAAAAAGAAAAGAAAAATTACAATCATACCACTTGTTACTTTTATCTAAAATTGTAAAATAAGTTTGCCTATTGAAATATTTATTCCCCCCCCATCTTATCAAAATTTTTTGTAGATCTAGGCATCAGTAGTCAGCACTCATTGATTCCAATCTTCTCGGCCATGGGTCTCAGGTGCTGTCATGTCCTCCTGTTGGGACTTGTACATGGTCTGGACCTTCTTTGTCCAACATGGCAGCTGCTGTCTACCGTGTGATGTATGAGTGTGAGTGTAAGTGTGTGTGTGTGTGTATGTGTGTGTGTGTTTAAAGTAGCACACATCATGTGTTGATGATCTAGTATTTTTAAAAAAGAGAGTGCAAAATATATCATAAATTGTTTTTATGCTGCTTACCTGTGAAATAATATCCAGAATTCTGGGGAGTGTCAAAATATATTATGAAAATTAGTTTCATTCCTTTTTTTTTTTTTTGCATCTTTTATGAGGCTCCCCAAATTTTAAAAATCACATGGGGTGGGAGGCCTGGAGAGAGGTGGCCCACGCAGTGGTTAAGAACATTTGCTGCCCTTGCAGAGGACCCAGGTTTGGTCCCTAGCACCTACATGATGACTTACAGTTGGCTCTAACTCCAGTTCCAGGGGAACTGGCACCCTCTTCTGACTTCCTCAGGCACCTGGCACACAGGCAGTGCACATACATACATGCAAACAAAACACACATAGAAAATAAAGTATTAAAAAATGAAATAATTACACTTGTGGGCTTTACATGTGTGGAGTTCATTCTTTGTAGATCACTTGACTTCATTACCCTCTTCCCTTTGGCCCCTGAAAGACAACAGAATAGTAGAGAGTTGGCCTGGTTTGTGCTTGGGCTCTTGGGGGAAGGAGGCTCCTATTCCAGTCCAGTATCAGCTAAAGCCCTCTGAAAGAACTCTCCAGCCTCCCAAGAGGAGTGACCTTCAGTCCCTGTCCCTTGTCTCTTTTGAGGAAGACCCCATCTGAGTAAATATATCCTATAGGCTTAGGGCACAATCAGAGGTCTCTGGAAAGACATGGACTGGCTCTGTCCAATAGGAATGTGACACAAACTACAAAGGAAATCTTAAATTTTCTAATAGCCACATTAAAAAACTAAATACACGCAGGGGAAATTTCCCTTAATATTTTATTGATATGTTTTTCATATTGAGTCTTTACTTAGTATACACTCACAGCATATCTCAATAGGGGCCTGAAACAGTCAGCACTGTGGCTGCTATCTTGGATGCTATTGGATACCCTTCTAACACTCTCCATATTTGATCCAGAAGGTTGCACTTTCCAACATGACCCAAAAAGTTTCTATCTCACTGCCTAGCAAGCTCATGCCTATTGATTTACCACAAATGAGGAGGATGCTTCTTCCTACAAATCTGTATGCCTCAGTGAGTATGTATGGCTCTGAGAAACTTCTGCCAGGGCCAGAGGGCACATGACTGGGGCAATAGGCATTGCAAAGTCAAAACAGGCAGGCAGCTGTCTCTGGGAGAGGGTGAGTGGATGCACACAGAAGCTGTGTGACAAAAATCAAAGCCAAAACTCTTGACTTCATACTCTTCTCTGCTCCTCACTGGTTTACACAGAAACCTCAGTTTGTCTGTAGGATGGTAATGGCAGCAAATGTACCTGCTTCACCAGAGGGAAGAGGGAAATTGCTGACTCCAGCGCCACACTGTGTGCCGTAGTGCTTGATGGGTCAGGCTCCTGTGCCTTTGTGATCAGCTTTCCTTGTGTGAGGAGCTCAACCACCAAACATCTCTCTCCAGTGTGGAGATGATTCTTGGTATCTCTGTATATATACCTGAGTTGAGGTTCCAATCTGTCAACTTCTGTTTTCCAGAAATGAAATTTTTGCAAGTTAAAATATCTTGGAAGGCAGCTGTACTCACCACTATACCATCTACACCATGCCATCCTAAAATCACCATCACCTCATCACCCTAAAATATCATATGGGCTGA